CTATGGTAGGAAAATACTGTATGTGTGTGAGTGTGTGTGTGTGTGTGTGTGTGTTTATATTTGAAAAAAGACAGATAGGGAGAGAAGTTTGTGTACAATATTTCTCTCATGCACACTCAGGTTTGAGGTATGCGACCTGGTGTAGGAGTGTATAAACACACATGCCCACAAATATGTACTTTTGCATACTTTGCACACTTTCACACACACACACACACGCTTGGAAACATACTTGAAGCCAGTTTTTCAGCTCATCATTCAGCATTGAGCATTGTGCTCACTGGAGCAGACAGATGTTGCAGAGTTGTCCAACAACTAGGAAACTCGTGTCTGAATGCAACCTGATACTCAGATGAAGCCACCAGTTATCATTTGTACAACCACGACAATATTTCCCTTTAAAGATGGTTACCAGATTGTTTTGAAAACAAAAAATATTTTGTCACGAATATATCTGCCAACCTGTCGTTCTGTCACCACTCTGTGAATCTGAATCAAAGATCCAATGAACAGCTTTGATTTGCCTCTTTCTGTGCAAGGAGAATATTTTCCACAATAGCCTGCACCAAAACCAGAAATACATTATTTCATCTCAGTTTGTGGTGATAAGTATTTTTACATAAAAATCACACCTTGTGTGGCTTCAGAGATTTTCCTGAAGAACCTGAACTTCTCATCAGCTTGTGTATCTTTACAACAAACCTTCCCAAAATGAAACCACATTCAAATATATACTGAGTCACAAATGCACAGTGCAAAGTTGCGAATGTCTTTGCACATTTGGTTTGCTTGCATCACACTGGCGACGCTTGAAGAAAGAAAAAGAAATGATTCACTGCAAGTAGCACAAACAAGCATGATATTTTAGATGAACTGGAGAGGATCCCACGCTGCAGTTTGGCCACTAAGCCTGTCTACATAATGGAGGCCTTTTATGAAGCAGCTGAATTTTATTTTTGTTTTATTCCATTTTTTTCTGTGCCTGTCTGCCAATATATGTGCATGCCTACAGAAACCGCGTGACAAAAGACATGGCCAAGAATATTAAATGTAATCCAGAACATAAAGTTCTTGTGATATTGTTGTTGAACATGTTGAAAAAGTGGATTTCTGAAGGAGAGCAACTTTCTCTCATCATTTCCTGCTCTTCTTTAAAAAAAATCCATATTGTTGCTGTGCAAAATATTTATATTTCTTAATCACAGCTTTTAATGACTCACCACCATTTACCATATACTATTCCCATCTATGTGAGCCTCTCCACTGAGCCATGAGGGAGAAGGTTTCGTCCACACTTCAACTGATGCCATTTTTCTCACATTGTTCACAGATTTAGCCAAGGCATACACAGTTGTATTTTTGTATTTAAAGTGATAATCTGAAAGATCAGACCTTGGTTTGGTTTTATATTGCTGATCCTAAAGAGGATTTTTCCAGGTTAGGCTGTGTTCAAAATAATGTTGTGATCAGAACAGTCATGTGACTTAGAAAGGACGTACTGCTTGTGTATACTTCAGTGTGAACAGTCTGCTGGAAATGCCATACTCAATTGTTCATTTAATAGGCAGTATGCAGTACAGACTGAACACTGTTTAGAAAAACAGATACAGGAAATACAAGCTTCTCTGGATCTGGTTACAGGTTTGAACAATGGGAGACAGAAAGTGGCAAAATTGACACTGACTGACGTGCTAATGTGAGAGATTATTACTTTAAGAGGTGTTATTCTGGAGTGTAATAGCTGTTGTATGGAGCTTTGAAGAATCAGCATTATCAAGGAACAGTGTGTGTATGTGTGTGTGTTTGTGTGTGTGTTCCTGGTCCAGCTTGGCCTATAAGGCTGGCACTGCCCACTTGTCTGTTCTGCTGTTACCATGACAATGCCCACCATGCCAGGCCAACACCATATGGTTGCTATGGTAACGTTCCATTTTTTTTGGCTGATGCCGGTGAACCAGGTGTATCTGCCAGCTGGTGACGACAGGTGGATGGTGGGAGTGAGTGAGTGAGTGAGTGAGTGTGTGTGTGTGTTGTGTGTGTGTGTGTGTGAGGACCGGTCACTGTACCTGCAGCAGTTTTTTTTATTATTCTCAGTTTACAGGAGGTTTGTGTTCAGTTTGCTGTTGTTATCGAGCTGGATCATCTTTAATAAAAACGTTATTTAAAACACAGAGAGCTTCCTGAAACCGTCTGTGGATTGATTGATTGATTGATTGATTGATGAAAGGAATGGATCTGGATTTGTACTCGTGTTTTCAGGTTGTCTGTTCCTTCCTTGTGAACGCGATATCTCAGGAACGCTTCGAGGGAATTTCTTACATTTGACAAACGTCTGCTTGGACTGAACTGATCAAAACTGGTTGGACAATGAATTGAACACATCCTGCACAACCTGGATATTTAGAGACTAGTTTTCTAGTCATGGTAACACCTGAAAATTGATTGAAATGACCAAATATCCTGGAAATAATCTCTGTTGACTTTAGCCACTCACTCAGATCACCGGTGTGAACCTTGGTTAAAACAGCAAACACAGAGCGTCTCATAAACACTGACCTCAGACCTGTAAAACAACCTGCATCAATGAGAAATAAAACTGATAGAATGTGTAAATACGAGTATCAGTAAATGATATGTGAGCAGGTGATTTCCTGTGTTGCTTCTGGAAAATGATTCCTTAAAGAGTGTCAACCCCAATAAAATAACGGTAATAAAAACAAGATGAAACTTAAAAAAGTAAAAGTATATCTATCAAATAAAAGCAGTAATATTAAAGGTCCAGTGTGTAACATTGAGGAGGATCTATTAGTTTTACCTTCATGCTTGGATGAGGAGGGTCAAAGCACCCAGAAATGGTTGGAGACAAAGCGCTGGAGAATTCTGAAGTGGCCAGCAATGAGTCCGGATCTAAATCCCATAGAACACCTATGGAAAGATCTCAAAATTGCTGTTGCGAGAAGGCACCCTTCAAATCTGAGAGACCTGGAGCAGTTTGCAAAAGAAGAGTGGTCCAAAATTCCAGTTGAGAGGTGTAGGAAACTTGTTGATGGTTATAGGAAGCGATTGGTTTCAGTTATTTTCTCCAAAGGGTGTGCAACCAAATATTAAGTTGATATTTTAATATGGAAGCCCATTTCTGCCAATGTGACAGGAAGAAATTACGAGTAAATATCTCAGAATATAGACTTAATATCTAATATTGACTGAAGGTTAATCAAACAAGACAAAGTCAGAATCAACATTTTTTATTAAAACAACATGAGGACTTCACATCATGTATAAAAGAGTGCATCTTAAAAACGATACAATTACAATGATCAACATTTACTCCTTCAGGACAGACAGAATATAAACCTCCGTTTACTGCAGAGAAAAGTTTAAAAGGCTTCAGGAAGTTTACTGTTGGATATAAGTGTGTCTGGTTTTTATAATTCTGAATAGATAGAACAAGAAAACATATAAAATATCTATAATTCAGTGTGTATACGATCAATACTGCATGTGGTCTCTAAGCGGACGAGTGGAAATGGCTTCTGTTTCCAAACGTTAAAACAACCAAACAGAAGAAAAAGTATGGGCTGATGGGAATTGAGTGAGTGACGCTGATATTTACAGTGAAGAACATCGACACGCCAAAGAACGAGAGCCCTCAAACGCCTCGTATCTTAACGTTGCACCTGAACGCACCACAAAATCCACAGCAGTGATTCAGATTCTCTGATTCACAAGAAAACAGCAAATATTGGAGGAAAGTCTGAAAAAAACAGAAACCAAACGACGGCTGTTTGTTGTGTCTGAGCTGCTCCTGAGTCTTTATGGACAAACCGCAGATTAAATCAAGGGCCTGGAGACCTTGATGACCTCGTTTCTGACGTCCCAGCAGTAAATCTGAAGCCTCTATATCCAGATGTAACACAGATTTTACCAGAATTTAGCAGAAAATGGTGAAATTAAACGTGACTGATGTTCGTTGTGTGAGCTGCTGGTTGATGCTGCTGGTTAACGCCTGGTTTTAAGTCGGTCTTAACTTGGCGTTCTGATAGTTACATTACGTTAGTTACATCGAGGTTTGAGCCTTCTTCTTGCTAACACTTTAAATGCCCGGACATGACTTTATCAGAGTCTGCACAGGGTATTTTATTTAGGAAGCTGACTGGATTCTTCACGCCGTTTATGTGCGTCTCTCTCTGTAAATGCTGCTTAGCGTGGTTGGGTCGCGGCTACGGCTGCGTATTGGCAAGAATCTGTAGTTACGTATCATGATCTATATTACGATTCAATATACTGCGAATGGGTTTATCATCATAGACCCCAGTTTACAACACTGCTCTGTAGCGGTTGAGGGGTTTAAACACAAACATCGATGCAGTTATTTTGAGAATCGATACAATATCACAAAAGAAAATATCGCAATATGATATTTATTGATATTTTCTTACACTCACAAGCCCAGACACGTATTCTCCGCAGAGCTTCGTCTGTTCCTGGTTCTATCAACACAACTTTTACACCTCAGACAGGAAACAGTTGGATGGAAACACGTGAGTCAACTACAACGGGCAACTAATGTTAGCATCAGCTCTGAGCTCAGTAACAAAACACTATTATTGCCTTCCTGTCATCAGGAGACCAGAGGGAATCAGTTTTATTTACATATTGTTGTTTTTATCTTAAAGCTGCCTCATATTGTCTGAGAGACTTTCACCTTATTTCTTCATGTTTTATATCCAGACAGGAAGTCTTAAAGGTCCAGTGTGTAACATTTAGGAGGATCTATTGTCAGAAATGTTTAATCACCTGAAAATAAGAATCGTTGTGTATTTGTTATCTTAGAGATAGGTGCTTTAACGTCTTTAACGGCCACTAGATGCCACTGAACCTACACACTGGTCCTTTAAGTCACTCTGTTCTGCTTTGGACTCTGAAACGGAAATACAGTATTTTTGTCCCGTAAACTCAGCCGACCATCAAACCTTCGTCCGAAAAGCTCGGTCACAACCAGCCCCGGCCGGAGCTGAGCGTCAGGGCTCCAACTGACCATTATTTTAATTACCGATGTCTGTATCAATTTCTCGATTAATCGATTAGTTGTTTGGTCCATAAAATGTTGACCGCTGTTTCCTAAAGCTCGAGGTGAATATCCACAATATCCACAACCCAAAGAAACCAGAAAATGACAAGACCTGAAATCAGAGAAATTTCTTAAAAATTGACTCAAAACAACTAATCGATTATTAAAATAGTTGTAATCGATGAATCAAAAATTTGTTGCAGCTCTAGCGGGCGTTTCCATGGTGACTCGGCTGATAACCTGTTGTCTGGTTTTGTTAAGAACACCTGAGGAGAGTCGGCCAGACACTTTGAGGTCAAAGGTCACATCATAGCTGCCCCAGTGTGTTCATTAAGAAGCACCGACAGGACGAGACGTCTACAAAACATCTTCAAAAAACACATTCAAAGTAAAAAAAAAGACGCTTCTAGCGAATGTAGAAAAGAGTATAAAACCAAAAAAATAAATCTGGTTTTAGAAAGTATAAAACATCCTCCAGTCCTTTCCTCATCCTCCTCTCGCTCTTCCTCCGTTCAGTCGAGGAAGCGCTGGCAGGCTTTCTTCCAGCGGCAGGCCGTACACCACTGGTCTCTGTGCTCGATGCCGTAAACCTTCCGGCATTTCTTGGCTTCACCGCGAACCCTCCTGACAGACAGAAACACAGACGACTGTTTGTAACGGCTGATAGCTGAACTGCTTCTGTACTGTAACTTCCTCCTTTCCTGTACTCAGATATGCTATATGCTAAGATAATCTATGTTGAAAAGACAGATACATAGTCACATCTTAAGTTAGCTAATGTTAGCAAACATTAACATAAGATAAAGATTGATTTAGTAGTAGCCAGAAGTAAACCAGTGTTAATCTTTCAACATTCTTCAACCTCTGTGGCTGCGAATGAACACCACACTAAAGTAACACAACCTGCAGTTCCTCCTAACGGCCCACTAGGAGGGCTGGCTTCCAGCAGTGAGTCCAGTCTCCATAAAGCCCCATATTTAACTGTCTTTACAGCAGAAATAAACATGTTTACATCCTGTTGATCTCTGGAGATAATTTCCCTGTTCATGACAACTGTACAACTCACCCTTTAAATTATATTAAGGATTAAAATTTTGAATAATTAAGGGTGTGATAATAATAATAATCAACAATAATCTTGGATTTTGGTATAAAAATACAATTATATTGAATGTTTTGTCACATTGTTAAACAGAGACACAATGTAACTGAGGAAGTGATGTTAATGGGTTAAAAAGGCATTTTAACCTGGACTTTACCACACAGAGAATGAGTGTGTGCAGTGTAAATACTGACCTGCAGGGGGCGCTCTGATGCTGCAGCCACTGCTCTCCTACACTGACCGAACGCACCCGAAACGGCAGCCCCTGTGGAGGAGAGAGAGGAGTCTTTTATTGTTTCCTCACATCAGGAGCTTCATCGCTGCGTGTCGTCCTTTGTGTTCCTCCTCTCGGCTGTAACAACACTCTGCAGTCGCCTCCCTCGGCCTGCGGGGGGCAGCACCGCGCTGTGGCAGATTGATGGAAAATGTGACCGCAAACCATCCGAGAGGGGATTTTCCTGCTGAATGAAAACCACCAGGGAGGAGTGCACACACACACACACACACAGTCCTCCCCCCTCCAGTATAAAACCAGTTCTAACAGGCTCCTCCGAGCTGCTGGAGGAAATAAACAACAGGCTGCTGTCGGGCTCCAGATTGAGAGAAAACAGAACTGAATTAGAGAAGTGTGTGTTGGTGCACAGAGGGGGTCACAGTAGCTTTACGGGGATCCACAGTAGTTGGTAGAAAATCTCAAATATAACCTGACATTCTCGGGGAAAGTCCAAAAACACTCAAAACAATAAAGTTTTCAGTAAGTTTCAGTCCACAGATTACGTGTGAAACTGTTCAGGCTGCACACAAAGAGCACAAAACAACATTTTCACGGTGCAAACAGAAACCGTACAGTTCTCCGCCAGCCACGCATACAATACACACACACAGCTGGTTTACATTTTGTTTTCATATTTTATAGAATTATGATAAACGTGGAGTAGATGAATTCAGGGTTACATGAGCTGACAATAATTAATTGTCATAATATTTATAATAATTATATGTAATAAAGTTTACTTGAGGTGATAACAGTTTCAGTACAAAGTAGAAAAGTAGAGATGTGAGATTTTCCTGCAGACAAACACGTTTCAAGAGAATTTCTCGCTTAAAATGTTTTAAGAGACAAATTTCTGTGAATAGTTTTCGTAGAGAAAGTTTCCAAATGTATGGAAGCCCATTACTGCCGAAGTAACGGAGGGGGAGGGGGGGGGGATTTGTGAGTCGTTATAATGAGGAACTTTCTCAAAATTTTGAGAAACTAAGTCAAAATATTGACGTTTCTCGTTATAATTTTTTCGTCACATAGGCTTCCATACAAACAAGCGTTCATCCAATCAGGTGCAGCCAGAATGTGCTTGCCCCTGTAAGGGAAGGGCGGAAGCCCTTTTTTTTTGGGACAACAAGCAAAGCCCCAAAATAATAAAGTATTGGAAATTTTTTAAAAATTTTTAATCAACCTGGTTCCCGAAGGGCCCAGCGGGGTGGGGGGCCGGGCCCGTCCCCAACCGGCAAAAAGGGGTGGGCCATGTTCGGGAAGCTGCTTTGCCTGAAAATGTTCACATGGGAACCTGGGGGGGTCCACAGCCCTAAAAAAAAATACAAAAATATTACTATTTTCTATTTTTTACATTTTTATTAAAACCCTCCCTAATTGTTCAAATAACAAAAACACTAGAAACAACAGCCATAAATTTTTCTATTTTCCTCAGTTTAATACATGAAATTTTTTAATTTTTAAAACTTTAAAAAGTTCCAGTGGGTTTTGAAATTTAAAGGTTCCCTTAAGTAGTAAAAAAAATATAATATTGTTTATTTTTTGTAATGGGTAAAGAAAATTTATTTTATTCATCAAATTATAATATTTTTTAGTCCTAACAATTCCAAAATAAATTAAAATAATATTTTTGGGTGTCTTCTTGGGTGGTTTGGAAAAAGATAAATGAAAATTAATAAATTACTGGTTGGAAATAAGCCACGCCCCCTTTAACTTTGGAAAATTAGGAAAAAAGTGGCTTCCTGAAAATTGGGACCCTGCCAGAAAGCTTTTTGCCCAGAGGGAGGAAAGGGGGCGGAGCGACTCAGGGGCCATCGCTGCCCAGGCCCGGAGACAGGGGGAGACGGAGGGGGGGAGGGGGGGGAAGGAGGGCTGGGAAGGTGGAGGGGGGGAGGATGAGGAGGCGCGGGAGGCGGGGGGGCCAGAGGGGAAGAGGAAGGAAAAGGGAGGAAAAGACTGGCCTTTGGCTGCTTGTTGGGGGTTTTGGAATCCAAGTGGGTAGTAAAATCCCTCTCGCTGCGAGGAACAGCGGCTCCGGTGTTTCGCTGCCCCGCCGGGGCCCTGTGGGGAAGGGGGTTCCCCAAGAGGGTTCCCCCCCCAGGAAAGGGTTGGATTTTTAACTGGGAATGGAAAATAATTTTGTTGTAATGTAAATGTTGGGTGGTTGGAAAAATCCCATTTAAAATAATGGCGGATCACCGGAGGCCCGCTTTTCCCTTTGCCAGGGGGGGAAAGATAGAAAATTTTTTAAATTTAAAATAATTCCTACCTGGGCCAGGAAATTTAAGCTTTTCCCATAACTAAATGGAAATCCCAGGTTTTTTTTGAAATTTTTTTTTGAAAACAAAAACGACCTTTTCATTTTTAAATCATTTGGTTTTTAATTTATGTTTTTAATTAAATTTATTAAACCCTGTTTCCCAGTCGCTTCCCTCCTGTCCCCCGTTCAAGCTTGAGTCCTCACCACGAAGGGTTTGGTGTAAAAGTTTCCGGGAAATTGGTGGAAACCGTTTTGATTTTCCCCAACCACTGGGGAAAAAAAATGGTGGAGCCCCCCAACTTCCCCCGCAAGGTCGGCCACAAGACAGCACCCCTGGTTTAAAACCGCCGCCCTTTTCCATTCGAGTTTCTACCGGGAGGAAAAAAAAAAAAAAACGTGCGGGTTCCCCCAGCCGCCCCCTGCGGGGTTTTGGGGGGGCCCGGGTACCT